GGCATGGGAGGAGTTTGGAGAGGCCATGGAGAATGACTTCTGCACAGCTTCGAGGCAATTCTGGCCCACCATCTGGCATCTCAGGGGCGAAAAGTGGTACACCACCAACACTGTTTATAGTGTGTGTGTGGGGGGGGGGGTGCTGCTGACCTCAACTTGGGATGTTGGGGGTCAGTGGGCAGAATACTTTGAAGACCTCCTCAATCCTATCGGCACGTCTTTCACTGAGGAAGCAAAGCCTGGGGACTCTGGGTCGGGCCCTCCAATCTCTGGTGCTGAGGTCACCGAAGTGGTTAAAAAGCTTCTCGGTGGCAGGGCCCCAGGGGTGGATGAGATTCGCCCAGTTCCTTAAGGCTCTGGATGTTGTAGGGTTTTGTTTGCTTGCGCGACTCTGCAATATTGCGTGGACATCGGGGGAAGTTTCCCTGGATTGGCAGACTGGGGTGGTGGTCCCCCTATTCAAAAAGGGGGACCGTAGAGTGTGTTCCAACTACAGGGGGATCATGCTCTTAAGCCTCCCTGGTAAGGTCTATTCGGGGATTCTGGAGAGGAAGGTCCATCAGATAGTCGAACCTCGGATTCAGGAGGAGCAGTGCCGTTTTCATCCTGGTCGTGGAACACTGGACCAGCTCTACACTCTCAGCAGGGTCCTGGAGGGTGCGTGGGAGTTTGCCCAACCAGTCTACATGTGCTTTGTGGACTTGGAAAAGGTGTTAGACCGCGTCCCTCGAGGAACCCTGTGGGGGTACTCTGGGAGTATGGGGTACCAGGCCCTTTGATACGGGCTGTTAGGTCCCTGTATGACCGGTGTCAGAGACTGGTCCGCATTGCCAGCAGTAAGTCGGGCTCGTTCCCGGTGAGAGTTGGACTCAGCCAAGGTTGCCCTTTGTCACCGATTCTGGTCATAACTTTTATGGACAGAATTTTTAGGCGCAGCCAAGGTGTTGAGAGGATCCGTTTTGGTGGCCTTAGGATTGCATCTCTGCTTTTTGCAGATGATGTAGTCCTGTTGGCTTCATCAGATCGTGATCTACAGCTTTCGCTGGAGCGGTACGCAGCCGAATGCGACACAGCCGGGATGAAGATCAGTTCCTCCAAATCCGAGGCCATGGTCTTGAGCCAGAAAAGGGTAGAGTGCCCTCTAGGGGTCAGGGAGGAGGTCCTGCCCCAAGTGGAGGAGTTCAAGTATCTTGGGGTCTTGTCACGAATGAGGGAAAAATGGAGCATGAGATCGATAGGCGGATAGGTGCAGCGTCTGCAGTGAATCTGGCGCTGTACAGGTCTGTCGTGGTGAAGAGAGAGCTGAGTCAAAAGGCAAAGCTCTCAGTTTACCTATCAATCTACGTTCCTACCCTCATCTATGGTCATGAGCTTTGTGTTGTGACTGAAAGAACAAGATCTTGGATACAAGCGGCCAAAATGAGTTTTCTCCGCAGGGTGTCTGGACTCTCCCTTAGAGATAGGGTGAGAAGCTCGATCATCCGGGAGGGACTCAGAGTAAAACCGCTGCTTCTCCATGTCGAGAAGAGGCAGTTGAGGTGGCTCGGGCATCTGATTAGGATGCCTCCTGGACACCTCCCTGGTGAGGTGTTCCGGACACGTCCCACCGGGAGGAAACCCAGAGGAAGACCCAGGACACGCTGGAGGGACTATGTTTCTCGGCTGGCATGGGAACGCCTTGGGATTCCTACAGAGGAGCTGGCCCAGGCCCAAGTGGCTGGGGAGAGGGAAGTCTGGGCCTCCCTACTTAGGCTGCTACCCCCTCGACCCAACCCCGGATAAGCAGAAGAAAATGGATGGATGGATGGATGGATGGATGGATGGATGGATGGATGGATGGATGGATGGAAGGA